ATTATATATATCGAAACATGTAAACAACACAAGTATACAAATTGACTGTACTATACAGTTATGTTAAAAAATAAAAATAACATTCATTTCAAAGTTATTTCTGAAAGAGCTTTTCAACTCCCTAATTATGAAGTCATTAACCTCTTTTATGTAGTGGCAACATTAACTGAGAAGTAGCTTTACAACATGCTATACAAAGTAATATTACACCATATTTGTACTGGTATTTTCAAACTAAACAGTAACTTCAACATGCATGTGATTTACAGGTCAGAAACCACTCAGGTTCATTCATAGACATCCCTAATTTTGAACTACTTATCACATGGAAAGCAATCAGTTAACTGCACTCACTAACACAAGGACTTTTAACTTAATAATGGGATTCTCTATTACTCTTATAATACACCCATAACAAAAGAAAATGTGGGTGTATTTAGCAACATTGTAGCATACATCTTAAACCTACCATTCTGAAAACCATGACATTAATCATAACCAGCCTTATATTTGGTGTTGTAGATTGGGTGAAGATGCTTAAGTAACTTAGTGCTATGTTTCAATGGAAACTGGAAACTGAATACGCTCTTTTAACAGTAATAATTGAATTTTTGCAATTAAATCTTGAATGACCTTATTCTAACTTTGATTATTGATGCAATTGATCCTGAGTGGCATGTGATGTAGATGCTAAAATATTTTTGTAAAAGAAGCAATAATTAGAATTGGGTGTTATGAAATATTAATGTGTACACCATTCAATCTTATATAAGTGGAGAGTTGAACTTAATCATTTGGTAGTATATTGCTCTTAACACCAATGTTTTACTTTTTTGAGATGTGACATGTAGTTGTAGTGTAGGCACAGGAACCTGTTGGCTGCCCAACTACAATTTGGGCTATATATATATATATATATATTTGGGTTTATTAAAAAATAGTGCATTATTTTGTCTGAGAAAATATAAGCTATTTATAGCCTGTAGAAAAACTTGAATTTTACGATACGGTCTAAAATATTTTTGCAACCAGTGCACCAGTCTACATACCCCATCAATATCATGCAATTTCTGAACATGCACTATTTTGCACCAACAGTGATTTGCCACCTACATTGGTGCAGCCAATTCCCTGTACTATTCTCTCAGTCCTCAGTTTCTCAATTGCCATAGCATTGTTTAGACTTTTTTTTTCGCAATCAGTGCACCAGTCTATATATCCCATCAATTTTATGTCATTTCTGAATATGTACTTATTATGTGACTACTTTCCACCAATAGCATTGTGCCACCTATATTGGTGCAGCTAGCTCCCTCTGCTATTTGCACTCAATCCTAACTTTCTCGATTGACACAGCATTATTTAGACGTGTTTTTTCGCATGTGGCTACTGTTTATGAATGTGCTTCTTTGCTATTTCAATTTTTATTTTCAACAGTTTTATTTTACTGTGGTTGCATTAACTTGTTACAATTTTTTTTTGCATTTATTTCTTGTTATTGATATACAAGAGATTTTAGTATGAACTTCTGATCAAATAGAGTTCTGCTTTATCTGCAGAGGAGGTACAGGCCTTATTTCGCAGGGAGCTAGATTCATACATTCAGCTGGTGATTTCTTATTTTCAAAGTGACAATGTTTATGAGGAAGAATACAATCAGTGAGAAGACAATTTGGACTTTCTTTTTGCAATAACTCCTTATCTTAGTCTGTCACACTCTACTCCTCTTCAGAAGTTTTTACTTTTCACCAGTTGCTGTGCCATCACGTCATTCACTTTGGTTGAGAATTGCTATTCTCCTCCTTTCTTTTTAGTGCTTCAAGTTCTCCCACGGGATCTGTGGTAAGTTTTTCAACATGTACACTTCACACCTGGTTGATATACCCGTGGTAGGCACGGCTTATATGCCCTTTGTGTGGCTTTGCCCTTTTTTTACACAAGGGAGAATTAAGTATTTCACATCATCAGTGCTCTAACTTTGGTAAGTTAGATGTTTATGTGTCATTGGTCATCTAAGTTACTTTAGATGAATTGTAAGTTAGATATTGATTATTACTTTTTTTAGGTAAATTTAATTGTTTTGCATATTCATTTTAATATTACATAGTTTGTAGCATCGGCAATTTTTGTAGGTTTATTCAACATGGTTTCTTTCCATCTCACTCTTCTGTTCCTCATCTTTTGCTATTCTTCCCTTGGTTGTTTGACAAAGGCTTGTTCTCTTGACCATCTCTAGTTATTGAGCTGTATGGTTTCATCTTCCCCTGTCACTTCCCTCCTTTTTCTGCTTCTTTCAAGTCATGTGCCATTCACGTTCCTCTGATTTGCCTGACTGGGTCCCTTTTATGTGTTTTCTGTCTTCTCTTTGGACCTTTGTCTTCAGGTTCCATCTACCATCAAGACATTTTTCTTTCTACTCCTTCCTTGTAGACATCATCAATCAGATATTTCTGCCTTTAATGTTACCCGCTTGCTCTATCATTCCTCTTGTGTCATACTGTATCCTGACCAGTCCTTCCTCCCTCAGACTTATGCTGCCCATGATAGCTGTTTGATTTTCACATCCATTTCCTAACTTCCATCTCCTACCAGTACTTCCATTCCGATCTTGACTGGCTTCTTTGTCTGATTTGCTCCTTACAGTGTTATATGGCATGTCCTGCCTCCTTTGAGAATTCAAGCTCCCAAATTTTATTCTCTAGAACTCTTACGTTTCTCGTGATCTATCACCTGTCACGTTATGCACTCTGTTCCTAAGGTTGGATGAATGTTCCATGTCCTCTTCATAATTCCAGATGCAGGTTGTCTCTTCCCAATTGCATTAACGTTTGAGTGAGTTATGATTTTACCTATAATATCAGTTACAGCTATTACCCTGTTCTTATGGTTGAGTTGAGGCAATGCCATGACCCCATAATGCTGGTTTCGGTTTGTTGTACTTCTTGCTCCTATGGTTGTTTTGGGGGTTTGTTCGGTTTTAACTGAAAGCTCACTTCCTCTTCATAATTCCAGTTGCTTGATGTATGGCACTCTGTTTACCTATGGTTGGGGTTGATGGGTATATACAACACTGTCCACATGGCCTAGCCACACTGTTGATGTTATTTTTTTTCATCCTCAACCTCCTAATACCAAGGATGAGTTATGGAACCTCATCTTTCCTGTTGAGGTTGGGAATGTACATAGCTAATTATGTTTATATGTTGCTACAGTTTGCACCTCTCAGAACATATTATACAATTAATTTCCTTTTCCACTCATTTCATATAAGTTCCTTCTTCTTGGGCGAAGAGAATACTTGTTCTAGAAGTACCCCAAAAGTATGCTTCATTTTCATCTCCAAGCACACCTGTTCATTCTGGGTATTCACTTTATGCTTGGTTTCTATGCTATACTTAAACTGACCCCTCCACCTTAAGACTGTATTGAAAGTTAACATTTTTCTTACACTGAAAATGTATTTCCGATTCATACTTGCCTCCTTTCACACTTCCCACCTTTCCTCCCCATGGCTGGTGTTATTCTTTTAGAGCCTGACAATTCTTGAAAGTGAGGATTGAGCAGGAATAGCAGAAGGATGTAGCTGTGACAATATAGGTGACACAATGCTATTGGTGGAAAGTAGTCACATAATATGTACATGTTCAGAAATGGCATGGAATTGATGGGGTACATAGACTGATGTGCTGATTGCAAAGAAATTTTTAGCATTGCTTAGAGGGCAGATGGAGATCGAGATAGCTTAGTGTGGTAAGTATCTGTCAGAAATACATTTTTAGTGAAAGAAAAATGTCAACTTTTAAATCCTTCCAACAGGAAGAAATTCTCTCCCCTCACATCACACAATGACCACTTGTAGATAATGTGACTGAATGTGCAAGATTGCTTCATTTATAAGGACAGTTTACAAAAAATTTTCTTCCCACCACACCATACACACTTGTGATTGTAGCCCTACTAATATTTTATTGATTCCTGTGTCCATGAGTTAGTGTGCATTTAAACCCTCCTGAGATTTTGAACTGTTGTGTCTTAATTATTTTTTTAATTGAGTATACATCTTTTCAATCTGGTATTATAGCTTTCAAAAGTTTTTCTTTTGTTATCTTAAAGCTTTTTTCTAAAATGTTGATAACAAGACACTCCACAAGGTATAAAATTATTTGTAGTAGATTATGTTTTTTTCATGTACAGATTGGATCGCCTTTTCCTTCTCTTGGACACTGGCTCCTCTCCTGTCACAAGAAAAGCTGCTGCATTACAACTTGGAGATGTACAAAAGCTTCATCCTCATGAACTGCGCAACTTGTTGGCCAAAGTAGGTGTATGAGTTTTCATTTTTATTATCAACAATCTTGCTGTTTATAGCTGGGCAATTAGTGAGATTTGCTAAACAATTAATCATCGGGCTTATTAATCAATTAACATTCAAATATTCTCATGAGATGTCTAAACAAAGACAGAAAAACAAAATGCTTTCTCACTCGAGTTGATAAAAAAAAATTGTAATGCTACAATTCAAGTTTTGATACACACGGTGTGCATAAAACATATAACCCATTTTTCATTTTACTTAACAAAGAAACATAATGGCAATATTTCAATTGATTGGATATTTAAATAATTGGAAACCCTAGTTTTGATTAGTTGGTTATTTTTGTGAACTGTGAAACTAATTGATTAAATTGAACAAACTTGGTTTAATCCAAAATACTAATGAAAAATCATTAAAGCTGTATATAATTTATTGGATAGTTGAGTAATCAAAAACAACAAGGATTGGAAACGTTAATTTTGTGAAGTAATCAATTTAATCATAATTTTGATTGATTATTTTGCCAGATACTGATTGATATAATGTATGCGCATACATAATTCATTATATCAAGTTAATCACTCAGTTCTATTGCTGTTACCCATAATGCTTCTTCAAGGAACATTTCTTTTGACAAGTAATTGATTTTTAAATATGCAACAGGGGAAAAAAATGATCGATTTTCGTTTTGAAAAAAGAATTTGCTTTCAAAGCTATCTCAGTTATACTTATAGCAAAAGATAACAAAAGAACCATTTGGTACTTTGTTTTCATATTTGTAATAGAATAAAGCAGAAAATGCCATAATAAACATAACTGTATTTATCAAAGAATTGATTTTTAAAGACACCTCATTTATACTTATAGCAAGAAATAATAACAAAGGAAATATACAAAGAACATTTTACGACAGTTCATATGGACTGCTCCTGCCTTCTGTCTAGTTCTATGAGCAGCTGTTTGTGCTAGTAGCTACTAATTGTAGTATTCATACCTCATTGAAAAAAAGTGAAAAAATTTGTAAAAAATATTTTTTTTCTGGAAGTACTGCACAGGAAAAGTGTTTGGATTGTGCTCTTTAGTCATACGCAACTCATTGCATCAAAATGGTTCAATGTACAGAGCTCAAAATTTTCATTAGTTTTACTAATGTAAACTGTAATGTTTTTATATATTCAAAGTGGTACCGAATAATAATAGTTTTTTTAAGAACTCCAGTTTCTTAGTGCTACATTTTAAAATGACATCAAAAAAGATATAATCAAACCCTCGCATACGGTCTTAGTGAAAACCATGTTCTTCTTGCAAGGAAAGTACTTTTATTTAAAATTGTGTTCTGTTATAATAAAGAAATGGTTGTTGCACATACTACATTTATTTTTCTAATTGTCTGAATCTTGAATACCCAAAGTGTGAAATTGTTTGTGGTGCTATTAATAAATGGAGCAGGAGTTTTGGTTACATACATAGATACTGACATACACGTTATGTCCATTATAGTAAGATGATACTTTGGACTCTGTGCTAAGTTCTTCATCAGTTTGAGAGCTTAATATAGAAAGGTTCTGTATACATGGACAGTAACTTGTCCTGAGAGAAAACATAAAGAATGGTGGTACTCAGTTAGATTAGAAAAACACAATTAGGCTTAATCAGAACTAGAGAGGATTGGAACTCCTTTTCAGAGGCATGCATTGCAGTTCTAGTCTCACCTACTGATTTAAAAAACAAGGTTGAACCACTATTCTCACAGTCATCAGGTATAACCATTCTTTTTGAGCTTTCTCTTAGGTTAATGTTATTGTTCATGCATACAGAACTATTTTTAATTAACTCCATAGATCTGATGAAAAACTCAGTATAGAGTTCTTAAATGTCATCTCTGAAACTAGACAAAAGGCAGGAGTAAGTCTGTATGAAACTATTTAAAACTAATTTGTTTTAACTTTTTGTAAAAAATAATAGATAATAGAATAAAGCAAAAAAGCCATGATCTTCATATTTCATTTTTACAAAAAATTTATTTTTAAGATCTCATTTTAAAGAGTTCTAACAAAAAATAGCAAAAGGAAACATTTAGCACCTAATTTTCATGTTTGTTTGACATTAATATCTAATAGAGTAACAAAATCTGTGAATAGCATATTTCTATTTGGCTTTTAATGATAGCTCAGTTATAGCAAAAGAAGAGGAGATACCTTTTGTTCACAGCTTTTTTAGACAGAAATATAGAATAAAACAAAAAATCCATAATTACCTAAAATCAAGAGAACAATTTTGTAATAACTTTGCCATGATGAGTTTAGAACAGATCTTTATTCCTGCTTAGTTTTATCATTAAATATATAGTTTGTAACATGTAGAGACATCAGTTTGCATGTGGAATACATTATTTCACATATAAATTACTCACTGCATATACACTACCTAAATTGTCACTGTAGGATCAGTAATTGTTAAAAAAAACAACAAAAAACATTTGTTTGTTTATCCACTGGATAATCAGGCAAGTTAAGGTGCTATGTTGAAATGTTTCACAATTATGTATTATTAATAACTAACGAAAGTGAACAACAATCACAACATATGAAAATATTATGCATAGTTTCATTATAAACTTCATAGAGTTAGTATATTAATTGATACAAGGATTTACGAGTTAAACATTTAGAAATTCATATCCAAATTATATATGTTTTTATATTAAAGTAGAGGCATTATTATTGCTACAGTTTACAGGTTCTTCATAGTTATTTTCTTTGAGTACAACGCATATTTTATATAGTTTGTAAAAAAAATTTCAGTTGGTTGACAGTATCTGTTTTACTAAATATGTGGCACATGCTCTTGTCTCTAAAATAATTTTATTGTAATGAAATGTTAGTAGATTATTAAGTGGCAAGCAAGTTTATTAGTATCATTTTTATTTTTAGTGTATGTTCTTTTGACACTGTTTAGGTTATTCTGAGAATGTTGGGTTTGTTCTAAAGTATGTTACCACATTACCAATGTTTGTTCACAGAGTAGTGAATTTTTTTTGATAGTGATTGAACTTTTCATGTTCATTAAATGTATTCAAGCTGATTGAGAAAAGTTCTGAGAAATGGTGTGTCTGAAAATGCTAAAATTAGATCATTCTGAAGCATGAAATAATTAGGCTTACAGTGTGTTCTAAAAGTCATTTAGTAATAGAACTAATTATAAATTATTATTTGATGCCTATTTCGGGAATCATTGGATCAAATCTCAAGGTGCTATGAAATAGGCTCCACTGTTGTTAGAGTTGAGTGATTAGTGGTATATGATAATCAATTAATCAACAATTCCTATTAATCAGTTACATTCAGTTAATTGATTAGTACAATGCTCATAAAACCATGAGCAACAGAAAAAAGTTGGTGTTGGGTGCTGCTAGACAGTTGCCTTGCTTCTAGTCAGCCTTAGTAGCTTTGCCATAACAAAGACAGGGTGAGCAAGTTTGGCAATATTTTGGTTACTTGAATAGTTGGAAAAATAAGAAATGGAAATAATTGGAAATTATAATTTTGATCAATCGATTGGTGGAATAATCAAAAATAGTAACAATCTGATTAATTGATTTACTTGCAATTTGGAATAATCGATTAGTTTATGTGCCATTAATATGTGCCATTAATAGTAATTGATGTTTGTAGATAGTTGATGATATTGATTAATCAAATTGCCCAGCCTAACTGTGATTTGAACATATCTGATTATTTTTAAATTTAATTAATGTCCAATTTATTTGCTACAAGAACTTGATAGGAATGTTTCAGTGTATTTGCAAAGTCTTATTAACCATCTTGCTATGGACAGGTCAAAGGGTGGATATCAAAATTTAATTAAACAACTTTATTATAAATGTATGTCAGTAAAATTGGACATAGTCTATAATTCAAATTTTAATATTATATAGGTTTTCATTTTTTAAGTCGGAAGAAAATATTAAAAACAAAATGCTAAATATCCTTTTTTGTATCACATTGCATGTTTTACTGGTTAGTTTATATTATATTATGACTTCCATACAATGTATACAGTGGCTAATGAATTAGAACCTCAAATTTCAGACCTTGACAAGCTGGAATATAAATTAAGAACCTCACATCTTTTTTCATTTACATAGATATCAATATATTTAGCTAACCTACCAGAGTAGCCACTCCCACTACTACATTCTTTTCAAACCTCTTGTCTACTCATGCCTACTTCTCAATAGTATATGTTAATAACCGACAGAAAGAGCACATTCCAAACTACATAAATCTGACAGTTGTTTTGTAATTAGCTTGAAGTGGAAAACCATTTTACTGGAAATGTTGAAGTCTGTTGACTAAGTTGCTGCTCTGAACAGAAGTGAGTTTTTTTTAACCCACATATAGCTTAGTTAGAAAACCAGATAAGTTACAGTGATTTTATGTGTACCAGTATAGTGATTTTCTAATTTTTTGGGTTTCTAAAATGTATCTTTTAAATCTACAAAAAAATAATTTATCTCCCTCCTCCACTTGAGAGAATAAATAAGGCTTATGGCAAGGCTTAGCAAGTATGATGCATGAGTGCAAATCCATTTTGTAGCATTGTAAGTATTATAAATCATTGTTTTGTATTTATTGTTTTATGTTTTAAGAAGAATAACTAAAAATTAAGCATTTATGAATAAATGGTAATAATATTTGTACATGTTCATAACCATTTACACACCTTGTACACTACTAAATTCCAACCAATCCGGGAGGATAACTAACATCCAAGTACCTACCAAGTTTATTGGATTAGCCCAGACTTTTTACAGAGTCATATCATAAAACATTTTCTCATAGTTTTAAAACCTTAGACAATTCTCCTTGCAACCACTGTATTGTAAACAAGTAAAAAAAAATCCTCTCCCACTGTGTTCTCGTAGCCAGGATTATGGTTACAAAATAAATTGCTTTGTATTCCACATTTACAATACAAATTACATTAAGCAGATACTTTAA